AACTGCGGTCATGGTGTACTGAATTGTGCTTTAAAGTCTTCCTCCTGGGAAAGCGATTATCATAAAAGCTTCCTAACAAATAATGACAATGCTGGCAAACCCCCATGTTTTTCTGCAAAATTCAAAACCATGCCACAGCTGTCTGGCAGAAAAAAGCTCTATCCCAAAGCTATATGTGTAGTCCATTATATTTATTGTAAATAAATTGGTATGTAGGTCCATGGATATTATCTAATAATGCAAAACATTAATGGAGCTGGAAAACAAAGTTGCTATGAAAAGTCAATCCCTACAGGATATCTGCTAAATATTTTTGGAAGGGTTATTTATATATTATTATAGTAATTGCAATGTGTTATAACTACAGACAAAATATATATTGTCTGAAGATATACTGAAATAGGTTTGAAAGGTAAAAATAGAGCAACTACTGTTAAGTAAAGGTAAAGGTTTCCCCTTGACATTAAGTCTAGATGTGTCCGACTCCAGGGTGTGGTGCTCATCTCTATTTCTAAGCCGAAGAGCCGGCATTGTTCATAGATGCCTCCTAGGTCATATGGCTGGCATGACTGCATGGAGCGTCATTACCTTTCTGCTGGACTTATTGCATGTTTTCAAATTGCTAGGCTGGCAGAAGCTGGGACTAACAGTGGGAGATCACACCACTTCCCAGATTCAAACCGCTGATGTTTTGGTCAGCAAGTTCAACATCTCAATAGTTTAACCTGCTGCACCACAGGGGACTCTCTCAACTACCATTAATTGTACCTAAATATTCCTGTATTATCTCAGGATTGTATTCTCAAGATCATAATGGAGCAAAGAAGCCTCAATTCTTCCTTCCTTCCTTCCTTTCTTTGAATGAAACAGATGCTCTTTAAGATACCAGTCTTTTCAAGGTGCCAATAAATAGTATAAAATATATTGAAAGAATAATAAGCAATATTCACACTATCATCAGGAGCCAACACCTTGGGCAAAAGGTAGTAGGCAACCCTACAGAACAGGAGGATAAAAAGTCTAGTTGGAAAGGGCTCCTTAGGCTTCCAATCCTGCCTTTTCCCTCTCTCTGGGAACACTTCTTGCTTGTAGAAAGGGACAAAAATAATCCTGTTAAAATATTATTATTTTATGAAATAATACTAACCCTCTGGTCAACACCAAAGTATGTGTATGTATGTATGTGTGCGTGTGTATATATATATATATATTTACACATACATACATACACATACTTTGGTGTTGACCAGAGGGTTAGTATTATTTCATAAAATACACATACTTTGGTGTTGACCATTAATTGCATATATATATGCAATTAATCTTCAAGTAGAATGCTCATGGTAGGTAGAATACATAGACATTATTAACTAAAACATATTAGCCATATCATCCCAATCAATTATTTGAATTCGTGGGGGGGGGGGGGACCAAAACAGATAAATATTGAAATATCTAGATGACAAAGTAGATGGCAAGTCCATGACTATTTACTTAGAAGGAATTAAATTAAATGAAGTGGGATTTCCTTCCCTGATAAAAAATAACTGGATTGTTGATCAAAAGTACAGTTGGCCCTCTATATCCATGGATTCTGCATCCATTAATTCAACAAACGGAAAGCAGAAAGCTTTTCTTCCAGCTAGCTCTGACTGATAACTAGTCTATTTTTAGACCCCTGTGTCTGGCACAAGGTCTCCTGTTGTTGAGTCCTGTTGTCAGCATAGGAATCTCTAGATCCCTGTAGCTATCAACATTTGCAAACCCTCATCTGTAAAGTGATCACGTTCCCCCTTGCAGTGAAGATACTTTCATTTGTAGGACTGTGGTTGTTACAGTGACAGGAGAGCAACATGGACCTGCTATCTGCAACAGGAAATATATCCACTATAAAGCCAAGTAACCATCAGAATGGTAGTTCAAAATCAATTTCTATTACAGAGCGTTGTTACAAATATTGAGAGAATGTAAGTAAGTTAATCGATGTTTTGTTAGGATGTGAGCAATTTACAACCGTTTTAATTCATTTTAGAGCATGTCTTCTTAGCTGTAATGGGATTGCTTTGAGTAGGAGGAGCTTTATTTAATCTTGTTTTAATTTTTATGATACACAAAATGTACAAATTATAGAAGACATCCCACTATATAATATATCCAAAAATGTAATTGAAAGAGGATAAAAATAGCATTTAAAAAATAATCTACATCAGAATAAAGAAAATGAATACAGTATCTCATAATTTGCAGTTCTAGAATACAACAGATGAAACCATTCTTCATAAAGCCATCTAAGTATATATCCTCTTCATATCTCTGAAAGTCTGGTATTTTGGACATAAGTGCTATTAAGTCATAATTCAATTGCAATATCTTTGGATTTGGCACATTAGCTCTCCAGATCTGCTGGAGAATTTTTTTATTATAAATACTGTATTTATTCTGATAAGAGATGTTAGCATCCTCTTTTCAGAAGAATTTTCTTTTTATGGTCTGACAAACAACTTTCCTTTGTATGCCTGATTTAAGCAGCTGTGCCCCTAAACAACTGGATCCTTTGCCCATTTATTTCTACTCCCACCCTATTTACTTTATTCCCTCTCCTCTCCAAAACACAATCACAATTCCACAAAAGCCATCATTTCCCAATTTAAGTCATCCCAAGACCACAATCAGCTGACTAATTTCCCATTGTTAACTACTTGTGTGCATAAGCCTGTTTCTTTTCTAATGAATAGCATCACATCATATCGACATGTTTTTCTGTTCTGGCATATATCACTGATTTTAAACACTTGTTCTTTTTAAACCTTTTTACATTACTTTCTTTTGGAAATATATCTCCCTATATAAAATCAGAAAAAAATATAGTTTTAAAGAATCTTTTCTGCAGCCTGTAGCTCTCTTGGTTTCATGTATTTGTTTGCTTGTTTGTTTTATATGGTGCCTTTTTCCCAGGACAGGACCCAAAGTAGCTTACAAAGGCAGAAAAGATTACCTGAAATTAGATATTAAAAAAGAAAACACAGTCAAACTATCATCATACTAAAACAATGACCAGACTTCCTAACATGTACGGAAGGCATCTATGCCCATGTTAACTCAGGAATTTGTAAAATATGTTGGCCACATTTATTCCTAGCACTTCAGCAGGAGTTACTACACGAGTTTATTATTTTTAAGATGAAAACATACGCATCTCCTATGCTTTTTAATAGGTACTGGGTGGGTGGGTCACTAGGGGTTTGTCTCCCGAGCTGTTTTTGGCAGAAGGACAACTCTCTCCTCCTAAATCAGAAAGGGACTGAACACCCAACAAAATTCCCTCTTAAAGAGGAAACCAGAGGACTTTTGAGTCAAGTTGTTTTTGAATGTGTTGGGAGAATTTGGTGGAGTGTATGTTTAGCCATCAGGAAGTTGCCCACAGCAGTGTAATTACAGCGTATTTTGTAGCTCTCTCTCTTTCACAGTTATACTGGTAAAGAGAAAGAACATTTAACAATATCTCAATATCCTATTATTCCTTTCTTAGACAACTAGAATTAAATTGCTAAGAACTGACCATTGTATTCACTGCATTTATCAATTTGTTTACACATATTGATCACCCAATATATGAGAGGGAGGTTTTTAAACAAGAAATTGCTTTGATTGTGATGAGAACGGGGGAGGTTATAATTTTTTATGCAGCCTCTGATCTACTAAGGAAGACTCTTTCAAAATAGTGCTTGGCTAATTTTTAAGTATGCTAAGATTTGGAAAATGGCTACTGGGAAAAAAGCACAGAATCCATTGCTTTCCTGGGAGAAAAAAAATAAAGCTTCTCTTGGTTGAATAGAACATGAAACATTTTGCTCACAACTTGAACCTTTAATTGCCTACCAATCCCATCTAAAATTTGCATAGAACTGAACACTGACAAAGCCTTTGCACTCTAGAAAATGTATAAATTTTAGCCAATTTTCAGCAATTTATATCTATTTGGCCATGAAATCTGTGGAAGTAAATATTATCTGGATTATTCCCTGCAGCTTGAGTAGACAGAAAACCATAAACTAAGGTGTAGCAGGTTTCCCCATTTCACTAAGTAGACAGGAAGACAGAAAAAACATAAATAAATATAAAAAAAGATGGAAGTCTTGCTGTGAAAGAGGAAGTGTTGGAGATAGCAACCTTCCCAAGCCTCGTTTATTTAATATTTTGTCTGTTTATAATGTGTTGTTTATTTCCTGAAGTGTATGTCTTCTTTGGTTTGCAGTTTCCTTAGCTCTATGTACTTGAGGCAGTGGGAGGACTGCAGATCATGTGACTGTTTAGAATGCAGTTTAAAGAGGATGACAGTGGAGAAATGACAGTTGAGACTTGAGTCAGTTTCAGTCAATGTCAGTGTAGGAAGTTAGAAAACCAGTTGAGGCTTGAGTCAGCTTGAGTACAGAAGTCTGTTTAGAGTACAGAAGCCAGTGGAGGAAGTTAGAAAACTGTTAAAGATTGAGTTTCCTTGAAAGTAGACTGGTATGAAAGACCAGTTGTACAGAGCAATATAGTATTGAAGAGACAGTTAAAGATACAAACGGAAACGTTTTAAAGTTAATCTGGCAAGAAATGTGTCTGTATATTTAAATAAATGAACTTACGAGTAAAACAAACACATTATTTTAAAGAAGTCTGCTTGAATCTTTGTTTGCTGAGAGTATCGAATAGTAACAAGATATTTATGTGCCCAGTGATCTTCCATTACCCAATAAACTAAAGGAACACTTCCATAACTCTGCTACCCAGTGGGTTATGATCCTAACGGGTCATAATTCCCAACAGGTTATGATCCTGACAGGTCATAATCATAGGTTATGGTCCGAACAGGTCATGATCCATTACCCCAATAGGAAACTTGCTGACACAACTTCAAATGTAGCCCATTAATCTGGAGTCTGGAGCCCTAGTTTTGATCCAGCCACCTCAAAGTCCCTGCCTTCCATAAGGACAAAGGAAACAATACATTAGCATTCTTCATGAACAGCTTTAATAGGATCTTGCCATGCAAAATCAGAACCTGTAAGTGACAGATAATTTAGGAGCAAAAGAAAAAATGTCTTCAGTGATGCCCGTCATCTTTCTTTGGTGGGAAAAATGCATATTCAATTGCAATGGATACCACGAAGGCTGCAAATCCCCACTTGAATCCTTTGCCGAAAACATCCATGAGAGTGACAGGTTTTGCAAAGCCACCCATGTATCGCCATGCTTCATTGCTGCGATAAGAGTAATACAAAGACAAAAGATGAATACAGAACATTTTGCAATGCTATTTACTGGCCTGAAAAATTACCAGTATTTTCTGAAGCAAAATTTTGAGTGAAAAGAGCTGAATGATTTGGCTTGTGTCCTTAAGAATAAGTTTTTGAAGGAAGCTCATGGCTGGTTATTTCCTGTCCTTGCCTCTCACTTGAAAAATCAAAAGATGGTCAGGGAAAATTATGTTGGGTAGAATGTGAGATCCCTGACAGAGAGGAATTGCCTAAAATTGTTTTGAGATAGATTATTTATTTTAATTTTATTTATTATATTTATTTACTATATTTATTTACTTTATTTACTATATTCTCATTCTGAAGGGGACTCAGAGCAGCTTATAGTAGGCAACAATTCAGTGCTGCATAAAGAGACATACAAATAAAAACATATACATATAAGCTCTATTAAAATTTGCAAAAAGAAAGCTTTCAATTACCATTCCCACAAAGTATTTTTTCTGTATTATTCATTATAGTACATATTTTATGTACAGATTGTCAATGGCCTGTGGTTTCTTAATTACAATCTATAACACTATATTCACAAGGCAACATGCAATTTTCCAGGACTGTTCATCATAATCATTATATTTCTGGTACCATTTTGGAATGAAACAGCTTTTGAAAGAACAGCTGTTGACATGCTTAGTGTCATGAGATCTTCTTTCAGATGGTCAAAAATCATTTACTAGGCATTGCAACTCCTCTTGCAACATGGCAATCAGTAAAGTCTCAGGAAACCAGGACATGTGGGCCCCACCCAGTTTGCAGCTCCCAGATTCTTCAAAGCTTCCAATGGGGAAATATTAGCTTAAAGTGTTGCCCAAATTTCCAACCCCCTTGTCTAAACTCTTAAAAATTAGCCATAAGGAAGAACCCACATCCAGCTATAGGGTGAACATGTGCAGTTCTCCACTACACTATAAATGCTGAATATTAATAAGCATTAACTTTTATCTGGGAATAAGTCCCATGTAACTCAACTAAAGTTATATTGAAATGTGCAAAGAACTGGACCATTAGTGTACTGCTGTGGGAGATCCACTTTATGCTTCTGTATATAGAGAGCTCTTTCAGCAGACAAATATTAACATGTGAATAATATTTTTATGGATACTGTCAAAATGCTTTCCAGAGTATCACTCTAAATGGTTCCTAATCCATTACCCCTGCCCCTATGTATTTGTGGCAAGCAGTTCCCTATGTTGGTGAACTGAAGAGGCTGTATTACAAAAGCTTTGTATTGTTCTTTGGATAAAGAACTTCAGAGGCCATATACCTGAAAGATTTTGTAATAGTTCCATTTAGATAAAAAAAATCGGCATTAATAAGTCATGGTATTGGGGGACCAGCCTGCTAATGCCAGTACTAATTGATGTAGAGGTGCTTGATCTAAGAGTACAAAACACTGAATGGAAGAGCACATTAGTAAATAATTAAATGGGACAATGTTTTTCCACTGAGATAGAGCAGCTTCGGTCCAAAATTAATATTTTGTCGGACGAGATGAACTATTATAGTATTAAACCAGCAATCAGCAGAGTTAGGCAAGTAGGATCCTTTTGTAACCATGTAATCTAAAAATAGAAACCTTCTGAATCTTTTTTCTCCTCTCAAATCAATGAAGTCATCCTCAGAACTAATGCTCTCACCATCTGCAGGTTCTCAGTTTGGTGCTTTGTACTTAATGCAGGGAAAGCAGCTGCTTTTAGGGGGTAGAAACCCTGATGTGGGTTTCTAAGGCCCCTTCCACACTTCCATATATCCCAGATTATCTTAGTCCAGATTATCTGGCAGCAGAGACTCATATAATCCAGGGATCAGAACCTGGAATATAAGGACAGTGTAAAAGGGGGCTAAGTGTCTCAAAACATTGTGCTACTAAAATATTTTTTTAAAAGAACTGATGTTATTTACAACAGAAATGGAAAATGTTTGGTCATTGGACTACAATTCTATAGTCCCTGACAGTTAGGCACATGGGTGGGGCTGGTGGGAACAAAAAGCTTAAAATCTTTAGAACCAAAGGCCTCCATATGAGGAAAACCTTGTGGCTGAGAACACATCTGTTGGGTGTGCTTTGAATGTAATTTTCCTGCTTCTTAGCAGGGGGTTGGACTGGATGGTCCATGAGGTCTCTTCCAACTTTATGATTCTATGATTCTACATTAACAATAGCTCTTACCGAAGCCATGGATCCTTGAGTCCCCGCCGAGCCAGCCTTTCTTGGACTACCTCCAGGGGAGTACCTTCTATCTTCCACATTTTGTAATCTGGAAGCTCCATTTTTCCATGACCGTGCTCATGTCCATGTCCCATGTCTCTAGAAAATATTTGTAAAAAGCAGCTCACAAGAGATACTACTAAGATATATTTTGATATTGCATGTAATATTGTCTTCATAAAAATACCTTTTCTCCCTTTTGGCACACAGAGCATCAAACACCATTAGGAAAATTATTTTGAAGAGCATCTTTCTAATACATATAGTTTCAGAAAGACTAGCAACAACTGGATGTGCTGCTTGTCCTAAGGCCCTTTAAGACATAATAGAGAGGAAAAGCTCTCCATTGTGCTACTGCCATTGTTTAGGAGAAATCTGTCACCAGTGTTGTTCCTCACTACTGCTGCTGCTCAACAGCAGTTTAGCATATTTAGTCTGGCTTCTTTGCAAAAGCTTCTCTGCCTGGATCTACACTGCCATATAATCCAATTCAAAGCAGATAATCTGGATTCAGAAACTGGATTATATGGCAATGTAGATGAGGCCTCTGATGTCAGAACAGGAGTACTACTATTAGCATATCCTCTTGCCTAATATAATCCCACCACCATGGAAAGGCTGTGACTTTAGGTGGGACTTCCATAATAGCCATTCATTTATTTGAACAAAATAAATAAAAGACACATACTTATTTTCAGTAGTGTCAGTTTCTAGGCTGAAAATGAAACAAGTATTGCTTCATCTCAACAGTCTTGGAACTGTTCCAGAAGACTAAACGCATTGTTATCTGTTACAGGCTGAGTATCTCTTATCTGAAATGCATGGGACCAGAAGTATTTTGGTTTCCCTCCCCCAGATTCTGGAATACGTGTGTTTGTGTGTGTATACACACACACTATATTTGTATACCACCCCTCTCAGCCCGAAGGCGACTTGAGGTGGTTTACATTTGGCAATCAATGCCCCACAAGATAAAATACAGTCAAAAACAATTACATATAAAATAACCATGTAAGAACAATAAACAATTAACAATTAAAACCATAAAATACAATTCTCAGCATCTCATTAAAATCATTTTCCGTCGCATCGTCTTGTCATTCCATGAGTCTCAATCAGTTATACTGCGTCTGCAAATGCCTGCTTGAATAGCCAGGTTTTAACTCTCTTTCGAAATGTCAGGAGGGAGGGGGGCAATCTAATGTCCCTAGGGAGGGTGTTCCATAGCTGAGGGGCCACCGCTGAGAAGGCCCGTCTCTCGTTCCCGCCAACTGGATCTGCGAGGAAGGCAGGACCGAGGGCAGGGCCTCTCCGGACAATCTTAAACACCTAGATGGTTCATAGGAAGAGATGCGTTTTGACAGGTAAACCGGGTCATATATAGGTATGTATATGTGTGTGTGTGTGTGTATATATATATACACACACACACACACACACACACACACACATACATGCAGAGAGAGAGAGAGAGAGAGAGAAACTGGAGTTGAGTCCCAACTCTAAACACAAAATTAATTTATGTTTCATTTATACTTTACACACATAGCCTGAAGATAACTCTATATACTATACACAATGTTCTTAAGTAATTGTGGGCATGAAGCAAAATGTGTGTTCATGGAACTATAAGAAATGAAATATGTCACTATTTCAGCCACCCATCTGGAAAATTTTGGACTTTGGAATTCTAGATAAGGGATGTTCAACCTGTAATGCACTGGGTATCATTTCCTGGCCATGTAAAGTGCAACAAACAGACTGATAAAAGAGGATGGAAGGGATAGGTTCTTGCTTTTAAAGTTTTTAATGCAATACAACTGTTTTGGTTCACTCCTGACACGATAAATAAATATCTTTAAAAGTAATACAAATCAAGAAGAAATAATACTTCTTCTTGTAAAGAGACAATACAGTATTTATTATTTCAGAACAATTTTAAGTTGCCTTTAAATGCATTAAGTTGCCTTTAAAGAGCCTTGATTTGTTACAATTATTTTTAGACTTAATCTTTATAGGATTTGGATCCCGAAAACTTTGCTGTGCAAAGTCATGAAACATCAATTGCTTGAGAACAAGATGTACTGGCTTGCATTAGTCATACTCCAGATCTGTACATAAAAGAAATTAGAATAGGAGGCTTAAGAGACATTCTGCTCTTGTTTGACTCAGCAGCAAGATAAGCACACAGAAAAGTGCCTGCAAATGTCAGATCTAGAATTGTGCAACTAAAAGGTGACTAGAAAGTTATATTAGCCTCTTTTGATGTTTTAATTCAAACACACTGAAGAGGGGAAGATTGAAGAGGGAAAGTCAGAAAGCGATCATAATATGTATATAACTTACATCAGTATTGAGCAAAAATGTTTTCAGCTCCTGAGGAATTTCAAGTTAAGTTAAATGTGTATTCTAACCTCTGTCCTCGCACACCTTGACAGGTTCTGCTAATGACACTAGCTAGAAAATCACTGAGACATACAAAGAACAAGCATGATGTGTCTGTTGGAGGAACAGTGGCAGCTCATTATTTGTGAACCTATACAACTGTCACAATATGTGGTTGTCAACTGCCACTGCTATGGAGCTTTGTAAAAGTTCTATTTGGGCTTGTTTTACCTGTTTGCTCCAAATATATGCCGAATTCTGCTCAGCACTAAGTCTGTTTCACTAAGCCATTGTCTTCAATTCACTGATACCTTTTTTCTTGAACCCTAAGAGAGGTTAGAAGACAGTTTTGTGTTCCTGATGCAAGTGTGAATTTGGAACAAGGCCAGATCTTATGTTCCTTGCTGTATATGTTCTACACCAAGAGTTGGCCACTGTGGGAGGGGAGGAAAATGAATTATAAAGGTGCCTCCACCCCTTTCGAAAAAGAATCAAACGTTGTTTTTTTTTTTGCCAAAAGTCAATTCCAGTCAACTTCCAGTTCTAAAAAAGGTATTTTTGGAGGCTAAATATGGTTTGGAGGTGCCTAATTTGATAAAAGTGCCTTTCACATCTGTACAGGGCATTTGGGAGATTTTTTTTCTTATAAATATTTGTTTTACCTCCGCGTTGGGGGGTGGCGGCGGCGGCTGAGGGCCACAAAATACCGTGGAGAGGTCTGTGCATCACACCTTGCCCATCCCTTACTCTACAAAGTCCACTGTCTAATATTGATGACCATTCTATTCATCAAATATTGTAAAGCCAAAAGCCAGATATTTTAAAAACATTAGCTTTTAGGATATGCAACGTGCAGGGCTTGACGTATGCAAGGCTGGGGTTAAAATTGTTGGAAGAAACATTAACAACCTTAGATAAGCAGATGATACCACTTTGATGGCCGAAAGCTAGAGGAAATTGAGCATACCTTCATAATACCAGGTGAAAAAAAACAAGTGCGACAAGCTGAGTACAGTTAAACAATAAAATACAACCAGATGACCTAAAAACCTACACTGATGACACAACATGCAATCAGCGTTGAAAAACGGGAGGATGCAAACTTGTATTTCTAGTAGCCAACGATTATTGCAGATGTAGACACAGCCATCAGGAAATCAGAAGCACATTTGCACTTCTGGAAGGAACATGCAATGCCATCTTGATAAAAAGAGGGAGAGTAAAGACATACACACTGTGCACCAAGATCCGCAGTAGTTAAAGCAAATGGATATTCAAACCACGTATCACCCAACTATAATTGTGAAGAGCTGACACATCAAGGAAACGACTGAGCGAAAGAAAATAGCACTGTCATATTGAAGCTAGTGTAATGTTGAAGGAAAATTCCATGAGCAGTGTGAAAGATCAACCATTCCATACTTACGGACAAATAAGCCCGACTAAGCTCACTGGAGGGAAGGATATTTAAAGCAGAGAGACGTTCTTAGACCACGATATGACATAATACAGGAGCTTATATGAATAGCATGATGACTGAGGAAAATGAATGAAAAAGTAAAGAGAGCCAGACCAAATGGCAAGATAGATGATGGATGTATCCTTGAAGTCACTGGCATGATTCTCAAGGAGGTGGGGGTGGTGACAGCCGACAGGGAGCTCTGGCATGGGCTGGTCCATGAGGTCACGAAGAGGCTGAAGTGACTGAATGAATAAACAGCAAAGCCTTTATGAAATGGCTGCTGCATTCTTTATCAGTTGAACCCTCTAACCCAGGGGTCCTCAAACTAACGCCCGGGGGCCAGATGCGGCCCTCCAAGGTCATTTACCCGGCCCTCACTCAGGGTCCACCTAAGTCTGAAATTACTTGAAAGCAAACAACAACAACAACAACAACAACAATCCTATCTGAAAAGCAGGCCCACACTTCCCATTGAAATACTAATAAGTTTATATTTGTTAAAATTGTTCTTCATTTTAATTATTGTATTGTTTTAAAGTGTAAATAAAATATGTGCAGTGTGCATAGAAATTCATTCATGTTTTTTTCAAATTATAATCCGGCCCTCCAACAGTTTGAGGAACTGTGACCCGGCCCTCTGTTAAAAAAGTTTGAGGACCCCTGCTCTAACCCATCATCAAGAACAGCTCACATAAAGGAAGTTACAGCAACCTAAACTCAAGTTACTGAAATCACAAAGGAGGTCTGCCTGCTCTTTTCAGTAGATTGATTTAGTGAAAAGCTTCTCCTTTTTTTTGTCATAATCAATGATGTGATGAGTTTTTGCTAGACCATACTAGAACTGAGAGGTTTGAATTCCCTCTGACTTAGAAACCTCATAGGTCAGACACTATGGATAAAAATAATGCAAAACATTGCCAATGAGGAACTCAAGACCATTCAGAGACTAAAAACCTGAGTAACTGGAGCAACAGAGAGCACAGGCAATGCATAGCCAATCAATATCATGCCCATTTTGTCTGGATTCATTTTCAATCACCTTGCCTAACATCCAGTTGCTGACTATGGCCAAACATTGCTGAAATGCTGAGCAATCTATTGTTGCCTGGAAGTCACTATGCCCAAATCTCTAAATATCTGTGCAGATATATTTTAAGAGACTCAAATAATTTTCTTCACTTTAATGATTAAATTCTGTTGCAAAAGATCATTTCAAATGCTTAATTTTCACCAATCTGCCAGACGATAGC